AGGTGTTGATTCGACCAGGTGTGTGTCTTTCTGCAGATTAATCAGCCGTTGATATTCATCAGCTATGTCATGTAATGTTAACTTGGGATTTTGTTCTAGCTGATTGAGCAGTCGAGTTCGGATATCTGTGAAACGAGGAGATTGGAGACTGCATATGAGAATCAAGGCTTTGAATTGATCATCTGTTAAGGACCTGAGTCGAAATCTCTCACATTCTCGGTTGACTGTGCCAACGTGAGTAAGAAAATCATCATTTTCATTCATTGCCAGCTTGAGGCAACGATAACGTATACTGAATAATGAGGAGTGGTCTCCGAAATGTTCACGCAGCAACTTTATTGTATCATCGAAACAATTGTCACGTGGTTTCTGTGGTAAAATTAGGTTGCAGTACCGTTCATATTCTGCCGGACCCAATTTACGTAGCAAAACTCGCACCTTCCAGGCATCGTCTTGTGAGGCGAGATCAACAGTGAATAAATCCTCATAACGTTGATACCATGTGTCAAAAGTGACATTAGCCTCTGGGTCATAATTGAACTGTGAAATGCTGTTCACAATTCCGTCGACAGATGGTAGCATGGTATGATTGGGATTGCTTGAAGGTGAAGCTGGACCAGTCTGTTGGTTGACGAACATTTCCATTAATTTCATTTGTCGTTCAAACAATAATTCCAATTTAGAATAATCCATAGTAAATTGTTATGTTGTTGCTGCTGTGTGGTTAATAGTAGTTTTCCCCGTCGCCAAATTGTTATGTACTAGTTTCCCCGTCGCCAAATTGTTATATACTAGTTTTCCCCGTCGCCAAATTGTTATGTTCTAGTTTTCCCCGTCGCCAAATTGTTATGTACTCGTCGCTAAATTATTGTTATGGACTGGTCGAGAAACTAATAGTCCTGACGCGAGAAGGCGGAAATCAGAAGACCACTAGGTTTGCGATGATACTTCTATTGTCCAAACACAAGGAGACGAAAATAATGGTTTCACACCAAAGTGGTAAGTAAGTAAAGCAGTTGTAAAGTAAAGTAGTTCACACAAATTGTGAATGCGAATATATATAAATAATTCAGACAAGCGTGGGAAAAATCATTAGACAGTCTTAACATGAATGGCTAATTATAATGGAGTGTCGATCCAATTATACATAGCGAATATAGCAGACATGCCAACAAACATATATGGATATATGTCACCAAGCAACGGACTGTCAACAAACACTCATATTATATATAATATAATATAAGGAGAATACACATTATTAAAGGAGACAAGTCCATACAAGTGAAGTGGTCACAGACTAACCGAGCAAACAGAAAGAGAGACCAACATGCACACACACACATAAATATATATATGTGGATACATATCAAATACATGAAAAATTTGCTCCTGATAACTACCATTCAGCTACGAATAAGTATCTGAATCAATTATTCCTTACCATAAAACAATAGTCAAGCTTTTTGTTCTCCCAAATCCTTGATTAATTGGAATGAATTTTGGCAAAAAGTACCGATTCAAGTGCATTCATGGTTGTTTTCTGTTGATAAATGATATCCCACTTTATTTTATGAACCTTCAAGTGATGTAGCAGTAACTGCTCATTATTTCATCTACCACTTTTGTACAATGTTTGCTTAAGCAGTATACCGATTATACAACTTGTTGGTTTTTAGGCCCTAGCTAACTTTTGGTGTTAGGTTATTAACAGCCTTCACAATTGTGTCTGCAGCTAACTGTATATTGTGCCAGGCTTCATCAGAAGGAATCTAGCTGTCGACATCAGATACTTCTCTAGCTATTTCTTCCTTCCGGTTATCAACCAAGGGACGTGTGTACTGCTCAGCAGTTCTCTCCGTCCTTCTCTATGGCTCTGAAACATGGCCAATACGCGTTGAAGACATGAAAAGGTAGACTGCTTTCCATCATAGATGTCTGCGATCTCTGTCTCACGTTAGGTGGTTTAATAAGGTAAGTAATGTTGACGTTAGGCGTAGAGTGTTGGGCAAAGAGGGAAAATCAATCGACGAAGCTATAAAGTTACATAGATTGAGAGGGCTAAGTTGGTCACGTGCTGCGCATGCCTAACCATCGCCTCCCCGACGGGCATTACTAGCTGATATAGGTGCAGGTTGTTAAAGGGTAAGTGGTGGCCAAACAAAAACATGGCATCAATCCATGAAATCCTTGACAATTAAACTGAGTCAGGTAGGAAGATGCAGACTTCCGGGTTGGGGCCTTCGGGACCCTAAGAATCAATGGCTGGAGACAATAGGTGACATGGCTCAAAATCGTTGTCAATGGCCAGAGCAGATGTATTCAGTCTCTGTATTCTTTCATATTCCTTTCTACCGTTGTCATTCTGTTTCACTCTTATACTTGTCAAACTCTATTGATTCTCTTCACTCATCTTCTTGTTTACCTCTGTGTGCTATTTGGAACGTGGCAACTCGAACTGGTGCACTTTGGTGCCCAGTTCTATGTTGAATCCAGACAGACAGACAGATTTCTTCCTTAAATAGGGACTCAGTGTCTCGATCTAGTTGGGGACGTAACTGTTTCGCTGCCGTCCATTTCTTATGTCCATGTAGTCGTAAGATTAAACGTGCGCGAACCAGAGTCTACGCACGTGTTCCAGAAGGAGCGGCAGTCTTCTACTGACCCTCGCCAACGATACCCTATAGCTATGTGGTGTATCTGAGTCTAGCGTTGATTTGGTGATGGAGGTCGCCAGGTTACACAATGTCTCTCCTTGTGCCTAAAGTTAGTGCTGACTAGAAACAGATGACTATCTGAACAAAACTGTAGAAGACGATCACTGTTGTTGGTTCGTCGGCAGGGAACTTCGTAGGTACCACCTATGTACTTCTCAGTTTGGCATAACTTCCCTACTTGGGCATTGAAGTAGGCTACTAAAACAACTATATCTGAGCCTATTGCAGCAAACTGAACGTTAAATGCTCCAATACGAAGTTGGTGACATAGCTTTAAGAAACTCTGGGAGGTGCTTTTCTGACTCATCGTTATTCGTGGTCACAGAATGAAATGAAGATGACTGACTAGTCTGCAGATAGTGCTAACAGTATTAGGGAAGGAAGATGATGAGGGTGATAGGGATAAAGGAAGACGATGATCAGGAGGGCTTCGTGGGCTTTTGGAAGCATGTGGGTGGTTGTTACTTCCCGGCTGCCTACACCGTGTGGTACTTGTAGAGATAATTGTGACGATGAATTAATTTCGGTACATTTTCACCCTCAAGGGGGGGGGACCATTGTAGGAGACTAAGATACATGGAATGTTTGTTTGACTATAAACTTATTGGAATAGGTAAGTATATAAACTTTTTATACAGTCAAAATCCATGTAATTAGCTGCATTATAAAATTTAAAATCATCTGGGTTAGGTACTGGGAGTCACACAGCTTCAAACTTTCATCAACAGTTACCTTCACTGTATACTGAGGATCAGGTCACCAGAAAGGATTAGTAGCAAGAAACTGTGGGAGTGAATCAACCAAAAAGCTACCTCCCAACAATTATGACGAAGGAAAATGGAGATGGATTGACCGTGCGCTAACGAGACCATTAAATGACAGTGCTCCAGGCCCTCAATTAAAACCTAGAGGGGGAATGGCTTGAGAGTCCGAGGGAACATGGAGGAGATCGTGTGAGGAGATGAAAGCTTATTCGCAATTTTGGGACCAGCTAAATGAGTCTTCAGAAAACGGGATGAAAAATGGAGACGTGCTGTTGAAAACCTATATTCCAACCCCGTACTCAGGGGAATAATAATAATAACGATACAGTAGAATTCCTTCATATACTTTTATAAAATTCTCAGTTTTCATTAGGTTTCAAATTTGATAGAAAGAAAGTCATTTTTTGGCGGGCAAACTGTAGTCCACGAGCTTTTCTTCCCCTTTTATACTTACTTTACTTTACTTCGGCTATCTCCTACGGGAGGATGAGCCGGCTTCATGAACGTCTCGAATCATCGCTGCCCAGGCGCGGCAATTTGTAAGAGAGTTCATGAAGTTTCATGGGAATTTGGTACGAGTGATGTCCCCAGCATCACTCGGCCTTTTGTTTGAGAGTGCAGCTCTAGCCTTTACACAGCCAAGTGTGACCTACAAGGCAGTAGGAGTGGAGTAAGGAGTCCACTATCCATTGTCAGCCAGCCGGTGACCGGAGTTCGGTTCATACGCCTTTTTGAATGGGGCCAGACATCCAGGACATCCAACAAGCCCTTTGTCCATACGTCTGCCGGTGAGCTCCAGTGAGCTTCATACGCCAGTCGTTGGAGGTTTGGAATCAGGGTTTAGCCATCTCCCCTAGACCGTCATCCAATGGACAGTCAACCCGGTGGAGAGCGCCGGGCATCCACTTTCGCCCTCTCACTTTGGTGAGAAACACCTCCGCCACGTGAAGGCAGTGAGTAGGACTTCCTCAGGAGAGGCTATGTAAGACGCCCGGTCATATGGGAGCATTTCAGGAGGTGTGCGGAGGGGTGGCCGACCCGCAGCGCAAGGCACCCACCCCCGACCATCCTGAGGCTTTTATCCCCTTTTATCCTCAATATTATTTCTGCCTTAACCTACTGGCTTTTTACTGGTGTTTCAAATATCTCTGAGACGTTTATTAGTGACTAAGTAGACAAACGTCAAGAAAATAGTGACTGGTATAATTGAGTTTTATTTCGGATGGGTTTAACTTAAATCAGTACAGCAGAGGGAAATTTAAAATATTTTGAGTAGATTGTGAAACTCAACGTTACAAAACTCTCACGGTATTCAACAGTCACTTGTAATTATACGCTGGTGGCAGTGAACCATATCTCTTGTGTGTTAGCTAGGGATACCACCAAAAGCCGCCCAAACCCCAAGTGTAGATGCAGTGGGACCTGCTGGTTGGAAATCGATTGCCTCAGTCCTAAAGTGAAATTTTCTTCTTATAATTATTATTCCAAATTTAATTATTTTTTTCCTTCAATATTTCAGTCGGATGGAGTTGGTCAGACTCGAATGTTAGCTGAATTTCATTTCCAAGCAGCTCAACGATGTTTATTTCAATTCAGGGATTCTTTGCCAAGAAAAGCTCTTCTACATGTTGCAGCCAATTTCTTACAACGTGATCGTTAAAAAAAACTCAATTATTTTTTTTGAAAATTGTATTTCTCTTGTTGTTTTGTTACTTTATTTGTCATAGAAGAAATGTAAATTTGATTTGTTGTGCCTACTCCTTTCTTTTTCTATCCTCCATGTTGTTATTTTACAAGACTGTTATATCCTTACGCGTTATATTCTTCATTATCTCTAGTCTGATCAGATACGACCGACCCTCCCTTCAAAAGTGCCCTCCAAAATACTAAAAATGTTAAATAGCGTTGACTTTATCGTCTGTTTGTAACCTACCACTATTCTTATCATTATTATTATTATTATTATTATTAGTAGTAGTAGTAGTAAGGATTCAGTTGATATGGGTGCGCTTTGATAGTACGCACAGTTTTTTCTCTTGACTTTCAAATAGTCTAATTCATTATTATATTATACCTTGTAAAAGCATTTATATGCAAAGCAGATGAATTAGTTATTTTCTTATTTAGTCAATCAGATATTATATCCATCTTCATTTTGTAACCTTTTTGTAGCACGTGTTCAAAGTACTTGTTCATATATATATATATATTTCAACTGTTTTATGAAGTTGTATGTCATAATCTTAACTCAGGTAGCGCTTGTATAATCCTTCTTTTGACGACACTAATAATGTTTTCAAAGACTGTGGTGTTTTTAAAACCTACAGTTAATAGTTTTTTTATTCAACTTGTTTTTGTTTTCTGTGATTGCCTGGTAGAAGACAATATGTTGTGCTACTTATACTTTCTTGAGTATTATTTTGTCTTATTTTTTTTTTTGAAGTTTTATTGATGTGAATAGTTTAGTTTAATATGGCTATGAATAGAGTATCTTAATTTGTTAATAGTTCTGTGATCGATGCTGCAATAGTGATGATGATGATGATGATCTAAGAAGTCCAAACACTACGCTACACTTTATGTCTTGTACAATTTTTATAAAAACCTAGACCAGTGTAACTTTCCAATGATGAATGTAATTTATCTGGTGTTCACTATCGACTGGCCCTATTCTGGTGGGAAGCCGTGACCAAGTTGAAGGTGAGGCAGTAACTCATCGAAGAAGACATTGGCGAAGTGGTCGCGCTATGTCGTGAATTGTCAGAAGTTAGAATTCATGGATTGGCCATTGGATTGGGTCCCAGTGGCTTAATGGTCTACGAGCTAGCTCGCCTTGTAACCAGAAGGTCGTGGGTTCAAACCCCTCTGGTGGGTGCGTACTGATGAAGGGTCCAAAACTAGTATGAAACGGCTGTCCAGTACTCCGATGGTTCTCTAACTGATGTCAGCTTATGATGAAATCCCCCAACCAATGTTATCAGTCAGTGGTTGCAAAGTTTTAAGTAAATGTTAAATCATAAACGTGTAGGGTTGGTGATCGCTTTCTGGGTATACTACTATGATCCTGTTATTCACCACAGTGTCTACTGGACTACTGAATATCGAATTCTCGCGACAAAATATCCGAGAAATTGTTTTACTTTATCAAAATTCGAAAGTATCATGCGTATTAGTCTTTCTATGTCTGATGTTCAACAAATTATTCTCTATATTTTGTTTTCCAGGTTAACTGTAGTTTGGTTCGAAATGTAGCTTCAATAAAACTTGATTAAGCATAAATTCAGTTGCATAATATTCAGAAAATTAGTTATATTTTACCATTTTTACAATACGTCAACTATAATTCCTTCGCCATTCATGAGAGTTTGTTACCTACTTGTATCCAACTCCAATCTGTGTGCTATAATATGGTTAGGTCTTCATGTTCTCCAATGTACGACACGCTGTGCACGATTAAATATCCACAACACTGTATCAAAAAAAATTATAGGTGAAGACTTAGGAAATTGTATCATTAGTAAATTTGAACTTCTTAATTACGTGAACAAAGACCAGCTCTGCTTAATCACGCAATGCATATCAACATAACCAAAGACCAATGTTTACTTACACTGTGGTAAATACTCTCTAAGCACGCATAAAATCAGTCTCTGTAAAAGTCTAATACAGGTATATGAATAAGTTTTAGAAACGTTTACTTAGAGTTAATCAGGGCGTACAACAAGTTGAATCAATCGGTAAATATGATTATCTATCTTAAAAGAAAAGTTGTGCTATTTGTTGGCTGATATGTCGATTTGCGGGACTCTATTGCGTTACAGAATGCGATAGTAACTGGTCAAAATTGTTTATTTATTATTATTATTGTTCCCTTGGGTTTCTAGTGGAACATAGGGCTTCAACTGCACGTCTCCACTTGCTTCTGTCTTCCTTCTGCTGTACTTTTCACCTGCATCCATGTTAGTCCATATTCTTTCAACTCCTCTTCACACGATCTCCTCCATGTCAGCCTTGCACTGACGTCCCACTCGCCGCCTACCTTTCCGCCTGGTTCCACTAGAGCAATGGCCTGACGCGCTATGTCACCCAGCGGTCTCCTCACGAGTGTCCGATCCATCTCCACTTTCTCCTGCATATTTGTTGGGCGATTGGTTCTTGTTTTGTTTGTTTGTGCCCATAGTTTCTTGTTGGTGATTCTTTCCGGCCTGGCCATCTGGTCTCCAGTATAGAGCCATCGGAGACAGTTGTTGATAAAGGTCTGCAACAGGCAGTTGGAAATATTCTTAGTGACCCGCCAAGCTTCTGATCCGTATAGAAGAAGTGACTGACTTGAAGTTTGTACTGAAAATCCGAATTTTGTTGTTGATGCTGGCTGAGTGACAAAGATTTCCAGATTGGTTTCAGGTTGATGAACGTGTTTCTCGCCTTCCCGATTCTCGCTCGATTTAACATCCTCGTCCGTTTCGACTTCCTGCAGTTGAGACAATGCCTAATGCTAAGTGAATGAAGTAACCTCTTTCAAATCCCTCCCTTTGATGGCGATTGACGCTGCATGTTGCTGCTGTTGTTACTGGTGGTGGTTGTTTGTTTATTTTCGAAATCTCCATTTTGTCTATGTTTACCTGGAGTCCTGTCTTCGCCGGCCGCTTCTTCGACCAGTTTGTCGGTTTTCGCTTGTAAGTCTTCGATTTTGTGTGACATCAAACATAAGTCATCCCCGAAATCCAGGTCTTCTAGGTTCTTCACGTCGGTTCAGGATACCCCTCTCTGTCTTCTCGTTTCCTACTGTCTGACGCATAATCCACTCAGTCCACCACAATTAGAAATATCATTGGTGATAATAAGCACCCTTGTCTGACTCCTGTGTTCACTCCAAACGCCTCGCTGAGTTTTCCGTTGTGGAGCACTTGACATGTGCCGTTGTCGTACAGCTGCTGAGTAAGGTTGATGAATATTTGGGGTACGCCGCAGTACTCGAGTAATTTCCAAATCACTTCGCGGTCAACGCTGTCGAAGGCCTTCTCAAAGTCTATGAAGTTGAGGTAGAGGTTTGATTTCCATTCCATGCTTTGTTCTGTGATGATGATGCGTAGAGTTGCAATTTGGTCAGTACATGATTTGCCTTTACTGAATCCAGCTTGTTCTGGTCGGAGTTCTGTATCCAGTGCCTGCTTTAATCTCTCCAGGATGATGCGACTCGGGTTTTTACTTGGCGTCGACAGGAGCATGATTCCTCGCCAGTTCTTGCAGAGTGAGGCGTAAGTCTCCCTTCTTTGGTAGTTTCACGAGGTAACCTTTCCTCCAGTCAGTAGGCACCTCTCCTTCCTTCCAGACCTTTTTCAATAATGGAGTCAGCATGTCTGCTGTCATCTCTGGGTCTGCTTTCAGTGCTTCAGGGGGTATTCTATCTGGTCCAGCTGCTTTTCCAGCTTTCAGAAGCTTGATTGCATTCAAGACTTCAGCTTTTTTGGAGGATTGGTGTCAACTTGAAGTTGTGTGTGCGCTGTTGTTGGTATTTCTGGACCGGTTGCCGGTGATGGTCGGTTCAAGAGCCCTTTGAAGTGATTCGCCCATTGTTTAATCTGTCTTTCTTCTTCGGTAATTGGGTTCCCTTGGCTGTCTTTTACAGGTTTCCCTTGTGTTGATCTCTTCCCGGATAGAGATTGGGTTATCTGATATAAAGTCCTCAGGTTGAGTTTGCCTGCTGCCTTTTCAGCTTCACTGGCCAGATTGTCGTAGAATCGTCTTTTGTCCTTCCTAGCACTTTTCTGCACTTCTTTGTCCAGTGCTGTGTAAGTTGAGCTCAGTGTCTCCTTCTCCGGTCCGTCCTTGCATTGAATCATTTTCTCCTTCGCCATTCTCCTCTCCTCTATTAGTTTAGAAGTGTCCGTTGAGAGCCATTCCTTGTCTCGTCTCTTCTTTCTTCCTAGAACCGTTGAACACATTTCGTTGAAAATCGTTTATTAGACAAATGGAATGCAATTCTAATAAATTATAACAACCTCACACTGAGAATACAGTTTATACACACACTATTGGTGTCCTCAATCATGCCGTATTTGCCTTTGTTTTCTTCCTCTTCATTTTATACTTCCTACATTCTTGAAAACTATCTCCCCTTCTCTTGTCTGCAAGTTCATCCGTCGCTAGTATTATTACGCTTTCAAAGAAAACGTGAAGCACTCAAAAGTTTCACACAACTATTTACCTTCATATATCTGAACCTGCAGTCATCGAGCTAATTAACGTTTACTATGTTAATATAGTAACATATACTATGCTAATAATAGTAACAGTAAACTCCCTAACTGTTTTGCCATTGTTTGACAGTGAAACTGTGCGCTGGTTTTTCAGCTTGAGTAGCACGAAATCGAACCTACTGGGTTTGCTTATCAATGTTGTTCCAGCCCTCGCAGGACATATTAAGCATGGACTAGCGGTACTCCAGAGCGGAAAGTTTTGATTCAGCACGCAGCTGTCTTTTTAAGCACGACCTGCGTCATTTCAGAACACAGTGGGTAAATAAAATCTTTAGTTACCATAAAAAGGCATTATTGAGGAATAGGTTAGAATAAGTTTAGAATTGTTGTAAGCTTGGTGGTGCTACGGTCTAAGTGATAAATAGTATTAATCACCGTTATTCAGGATATGCTATGAACCGGAAATGGCGAAGTTTAAGAATAGCGTCCTAAAACCTTCAACGCTCAAATGACCTTGAACGCATGCTAGTCATTGGCTAACGGTTCCTGTCATTATCATAGCTGAAATATCAACCCTATTCATCAAATAAGGAGCAAGTTTCACCCAGATAACACTTTTATTACTGTTTGGACAATGTGTTAACATCTCGTTAGGGTTAGGATAGGGGTTAAGGCGAGTATTGTGGTTAGGGTTAGGGTTACGGTCATTGTGTGCGTCGGTGGCACAATGGTTAGGGTTAGGGTAGCGATTAGGAATAGATTTTTCGTTTATTTCAACTTCTTTTATTATCCTTATTTCCCTTGTATGTAGTCGCCAATGCTCTTACTGGAACCATAGTTACTAAACCGAGGGCTTAGGAGGGGACTACACAGCAAGAGAAGAGAGATGAACCATTCCCAAAACAGCACACCTTCAGTCACTTTGGTGAATACACCTACAGAAACCAGTCCAACTTGGAAACTGATACTCTTCATCGCAACTGGAACGTATTTTTAAGTCATATCAGAGAAATATAATCCGTTTAATGTGTTTTCATGCATTTTCTTGTGAATATACGTCATTTTTCGTGCAAAAATTCCTCATTTTCATGATTGCCTGCCTGAAGGTCACTCGTGCGTTCGCATCCCTTGGGACGCTATTGTTGAACTTTGCCCCGGAAATGCTCAGCTGAAAAACGTAGTAATTAAGACACAGATCGGTGTAATTTATAACGGACTCCAAATCGCTCTCATCACGAAACAGTCAACCAATGTATGCTTTAAACTGTCGCTCTCAACCATTTGAAGGGAAATTTACTTGA